GCTGGTCCCAATGATTTAGATTTTTAAAGATAAGAAGAGTATAACGGTTAGGATCCAGCCACAAGACAAGAACTATACCCATTATTTGGATTGAATGAGAATTTTTAATGAAGTCGTTAGCTAGGTAACCAAAATGGTAAAAAATTTAGAAACTTAGGGAGGGGTTTCCCACATAGAGTTGAACTCAGATGCTTTAGGAGAGGAATGGCTGCCTGGTGCTGGTGACTGGGGTGAACACAATGAAATTTGTGCTACAAATAGTGAGAAAACAGCAAACTGAATTTAGGTGCTGTCGTGGTAGGACCTGCACCAGCTGGAGTAAACAAGCATTACTGAGGTGATAGTCCTGGGATCTATTAGCATACAGGAAGCAAAAAGGAAGTAACTAGTCTCTTCCTTTTCTTCAAACCTTGCAGTTTACCTCGATCACCCCCTAGTGGCAAAGCCTGACAGAGCCTCCCACAAAGCAGCAATGTGGTTGGCAGAGTACCAGGACAGGCATCATGAAACCGAGTAACAGATCTGAGGGCTTGAGGTTGAAAGACAATAACCTAGTGACTGGCACAAGGACTAGATTATTCTGAAGTCCACAGCTTCTTAAATATCCATCTTTAGATCTGCTCAGTCTGTCCTCACACCATTCTTTACTTCCTGTTCCTGAATTTCATTGCCTCTTTGTGAGCTTTGGGGTCAGAGTTGGATTCATATTTTAGTTATTGCTTATGAGCTGTGTGACTACAAGTGACATATTTAACCTCTTTTAGGTTTGATTTACTTATCTATTGTACAAACCCAAGATAACAATATTGAATTCATAGGATTGATGTAAGTATTAAATGAAATTAGGTCCATGGGATGTTTGTTTAGCCTGTGATCTAGCATATGGTACTAATCAAAGGAAGGTGAACGGAAGAAAAACAAAAAAGCAAATATGCGTCGTTTCTGCAGTTCTTGTTTCTGTAGTTAATCATGAGGCTATAGTTGGTATTTATCACTTTCTCCTTCCAACATCCATTTCATGTTTCATTTACCCTCAGCCAGGGCCTAGGTTTTATCTAGATAGATAGTTTTATCTCTTGATAGAAGCATTCTTTTTCTTAGGAACCAAGATCACTCAACCAGCAGAGCTCAAAGTTATAGGTGTAAGAAGCAAGAAAATAAAATCTGCCATTGGATTACTAGATTTAATAGGGAAGTTACTCTCACTCCCACCCTTTGATTCTGGCTATGGGAGACACAGTTTCATATAGTGGTTTTAGATTCTGCAACCTATAAATAACTATATGCTATATCATTTACCGACTGCTGATACAACAGTTTTGAGAGGCCATTCAACATTTCTGTTAGGCTTTTAGGTGATGACGTTTGTGATAACACCAGTTAATTCGTAAGTGTGGACCTATTGCAGCATTTCTGTTGCCTATGTTGGTCAGAATCAATGTTGTATGGAATATCTTGATGGCAAATAAAACATTCCTTAAACCCAGATATGGTATTTCAGGCAATGCAAGTTCATACCCAGAATGCCTCTAGCAATAATTCAGTTCTCTGCTCCTTCCATAGTGGAAGGGATTGAATGTAATGAGCTTACTATGAGCTGTGTAGTTGGTCCCCGAGAGCTCATTATTGAAGTCTGGCAGATTAAGCACTCATTAGTAGAGGGATCCAGGTCAACACCGGGGAAAGGGAGTTTAAGTCACTTAGCTTATGTAGACCCTCTATCTACCGCAGTCACTTTGTATGTGGGCCAATGGAGAAAGCATTGATGTGGCCAGGGAAAGGGGCTGAATGACATAAAAAGAGCATGTTTTGCATATTTAATTACTGGGAACCTTCTTTGCCATGGCTGTCCTTTGGTAAATATTTACCTGGGACATGTATATGAGGGTCTTCAAAAAGTTCACAGAAAAATATTATTAAAAAAGCTAGGCATGGATTTCAATATTTTAGCACCAAAGTAAACTCATACTTTAGTTTAATTTTTCACAAGCTTTTAAAAGTCTCCTTGTGTCTTTGGATTCTATATTCATTATGAGAGAGCTCCATTTGCAAACTCTTCCCTAGACCTCCTTGTGACCAATATTCTAATCCTGTTCTTCCTAAGTCTCTGTCCAGCCAAACCATTATCAATGATCTATGAGTCATTGTGGATTTTTATTTCAGGGCGTCTCTTAGTCCAAACAATATGAAGAATCAAATTGAAATTATGCTCACTGAGAGGATTTCCTTCACCACTGTTCGTCAAGATTACTCTTGAGTGTGGTTGTCCTGATTAAACAATTCACTTTCGATTGGTAGCAGCACATCATTCATAACTATCTGCAAACCATTACTCTTTTTTTTTTTTATTTTTTTTTTATTTACTTTTTTTTTTTTAATTTTTATTTTTATTATCATTATAATCTTCTTTATATTACATTGGATTACATATAACTTTACATTGTATTACATTGTTTTTTCAAAAGGGAATGTGGTTGTCCTGATTAAACAATTCACTTTCGATTGGTAGCAGCACATCATTCATAACTATCTGCAAACCAAATACTTTTTCTTCTCAACAAAGTGCTCATAAAGAATTATCTATGAAACCAGCTATGTGGGTCAAGGAAGAGGAGATAATGTAGCAGGGGCTGGTGTCAAAAAAGTCTGAGCCACTGCCTATGAAACTTACTTGTACTATTTGATTATGCTCAAACCTTACTTCTTATATGCCATTTCCACAGTAATAGTGCTCCTGTGCACTCAGCCTTATGGTTTGGTGGATCAGATAATACCCGGTTCATTTTGAGAAGCTCAGGTTTCATGATCATTTGGTCTCTTCCAGAAGTTTCTGCCCACCAGCAACACAGAAGTAGTTTATCAAAAGGAGAGTAGTTATTGTCAGAAAAGGGCATAGATTTTCTTCAAAATCCTTTAGGTCTATTCTGTAATTCTATTGGTGCTTTCCAGAGGGTACATTCAGTGACTGTATGTTCTATGGACTTCATATATTACTAGATCTGCTGGCTTATAAGGTTCAAATAAAATAGCAGCTTGTATTGTAGTTGGGAGTTGTCTTTGGTACCTTCTCTTATTCACTAAAACCTGAAAGTATTTTGTGTTACTCATCAACAATGTTGAAATATCACACTCATATAGTATACATTGACTCTAAAACACAAAAAGTCCACCAAGAGTTGTGCTTTTTTAGCTAAAATGAGTTCAAGGTATAGCAATTTCTTTTTCACCAAAGGATATCTCAGTATGTTCCAAATAGACTCCAAGAAACTTCACTGAGATAGAGAATTTCTCCATTTTTGTGGGGTTGTCTCCCATGCTTGAGTTCACATATGTTTTACTAAGATTTCTGAAATAGTTGCTTGAGTCAGGTGGTGATGTGGAGATATCACAACTCGACCCACATGGAATGATCCTGGTTTGGAGTCCCAGGACTTTCTGAGTACACTGGGCATGCACAAGCATGCTGGGATCCAGGCTGTTTGAGAGTAAGGGCGATCACAGTGTGGAGATGCTTTTGGGGATACTTATCTCTCTGTTTTTCTTTCTTTCTCTTTGTGTCTCTCTCTGTCGTGGAAGAAATAAATAAAATTCAAAAATTGCTGTTTATTGCTCATCAGATGTAAACAGCATAGTCTTCATTATGAGAAGTCAAGATGATTAAGATGTCTCCTGAATATATTACAACTGAGAGCAGGACAGTTGATATAGCCTCAAGGCAATACTTAGAAGGTTCCTGTTGATCATACCAGGTCAAAACAAACTACAGTCATGCTCTCCATAAATGCATTTCGATTAATGAGGGACTTCATATATGATGGTGGTGCTATAAGGAACACAGGCTACATCATATAACCTTGGTGTGTAGTAGGCTGTAATATCTAGATATACTTTACCCTGTCCTTACGATGATGAAATTGCCTAGTGACAAATTTCTCAGAATGCATCCCTGTTATTAAGTATCATTTGACTATAATTCTGGTTGTCCAAATATAATTTATATCATCATGTTTAAGCAGTAATTTTTACATGTATTCTTGTCTTTCTAGATGATAAGGTCCTCAGGGATCAGACCTTCATTTTTCTGACCTCTGTGGGTCCTGCTTTAGAAGTGGTAGTCATGGAGCTGGCCAGTGGTGTAGTGGTTAAGGTGCTGGACTCCCAACAGTTCAAGGTGCTGGATCGCAGTTCAAGTCCCAGACTAGGTGGCTTGTTTTCTCACTTTACCTCTCTCTCTCTGGTCAAATTAAAAAATAATAATAATAAATAAAATTAAATAAATAATTCTTTTTATAAAAAGAAGTGGTAGTCAGTACATTCTTACTGAATGAGTGATTTGCACTATAAATAGTTAAATCATTTGATAAACAAGTTGAAACACAGACCACGGTTTCTTTGCCCAGTGAATAACATTTATTAGGAAATAAGAGTAGATATTGTGTGACCAATGTAATTGAAATAACCAACAGGCAAGATTGCTGTAATCCCAAAATCAAGGATGGATCAGATGCTGACATGTGGAAAAGTCTTGCCCACTTCTCAGAAGCTGAATGTTGGGTAAAGAGCTTCAGTTCTCTCTGGTGACATGTGAAGAATGTCACTTAGCCATACTCTGGTGCCTTTGATGTTGGAAAAAAACTTCAGGTAAACTGAAGATAAAAATAGATCGTAAAACGGGAAAATGCAGACTGATAGGCGGTTCTCATGGATAAGCGCCACAAGGTGTCAGTAATTTTCAACCTTGCAGGAATATTAGAAATAATATATCCAAAGCAATTTGATCAGATAATCAGCAGGTAGGTTTGCAGCATTTCTGTATCCTCAGTGGAGGGTCTAGGTATTAATTGTAGAATGGAATCAGACAGAACATGAGGCTTATGTCCTTCATATCCTTCATAAAAGAAAAGATGTCTAAGAACCCCCTAGTGGTCCAGGGATGGGCAAGAGATGAACAAGTTCAGAGATACTGTGTCCTGGGCAATTGAAAATCAGCAACCAGGTTTTTAACAGGAGGGCTGGCAGCAGTAGCAGCAGCAGGCAGGACGGCAGCAGGACTGTCCACAGTAGGATGGGCGGCAGCAGGAGGCCTGAGCATGGTGCAACTGGCAGCAGGTTGGGGGAGTGCAGCTCACCACGCAGCAGGGGGGCAGGCAGGTGTCCTCCACGCGGCAGTCTGGGCGGCACCACCTGGTGCGGCAGCTCATGGCTCCACAG